GGTGCTGAGGCCCCCGGGGCCAGCCTGTGTGACCCCCAGCCACTGGTGTGAGCTCTCCAGCACCAAGGAGCTGGTCAGGCCACCCTGGAGCACCAGTCAGCAGGCCTGTGGGACGTGCTGAAATATCAGGGGTTTGTCCAGAGGGCAGCAGGGAGTCAGGACAGTTTGGAGCTAAGAAGTGCTGTGATCAGTCTAGGACACAGAAGCAGGGGGAGAGCCCAGGCTCTGGAGGTGCCCCTGCAGGAGCTGAGACCAGGTGTGTGTCTCAGGCCAAAGGCCTGGGAAACCAGGTGAAGGCTGGGGTCACGGGAGGTGGCAGGAACTCGGGACTGTGAGTTCCCGGCCCCGTAGCTCTGTTACTGCCAGGCTGAGCGAGCCTGGATGCGCCACCGATCTGCTGTGTGCCACAGGGTCCTCCCACGTCAAGGGGCGGGTGGGATCTACAAGCCTCTGCTGGCCTGTTACAACAGACCCCCAGCCTGTGCTGCTCAGGAACGGTGGTGCAGTGTGAGCGCCCACCACCAGAGGGCATGACTCCCAGTGCAGGGGTTTGGTGAGAAAAAGGAAAGGGGCTTATTTAAAGGTTGTAGAGACTCAGAATAATGGCAGGTTTCTGCCGTTAGGTCCCACTACTTTCATTTTTTTATTTTTATTTTTATTTCTTAGGCTCAACACATTCATTACTTTATTGTTATTCAATTATAGTTGTCTACATTTTACCCCGACCAGCCCTCCTCGGCCTATCCACTCCTCTTAAAGCACCCCAAAACACACAGTCCTGCCCCCCTTTGCCACACCAGGCCAGTGCCACGAGGCGCAGGTCAGAGTACCATCTGTCAGACACAGCCACAGCCTGAGGCTCAGCATTCCTGGTCACAGTTCAGCATTCCAGGCATCTCCCACGAATCCATGCTTGGTTAGGCAGGTTCCTGCAATTTCCAGCTCCATGAGCCCTGCCTCCGTGTTCCTCAGCAGGTCTCGGTCAGCTGTCCTCTCACTGTGCCAGCCCTCCTGATGGGGTCCTGCAGCCCTGCAGCCCCTTTCCACCATTTCTGGGCCAGGCAGAGCCCTGTTCCTGACACACCAGCCCCTTGGGTTCCACTCACCCCTTCACAGGGGACTGTGTGGGGAGATAGGGCCCATAGGCCTCTGAAAGTTTGGAGACGGTCCCAAGTGACTCCGTTTCTCCCTCTCCCAAAGTCCTGAGAGCTGCAATGGCAGCCTCAGCAGCTCCTGCCACAGCGTGGCCACACTGCTGCCAGTGACAGTAGTGAGGCCAGCAGCCCTCCCCCACCATCCCTGCACAGGCAGGTTCACCTGTGTCCACAGGCCCCTGAACACTGCTGATGGCTTGGGACCCGGAGGCCATGGGCTCCTGGGGAGCCATTGGGGAGGGGAGGGGTGGTGGCCACGTCGCCTCAGAGGAAACACCTGTGGCCATAAATAGGCAGCCAGGGAGGCAGCACAGCACAGCCCACAGAGCAGCACCACATGCTGTGCCCACCTGTGTGCTCCAGGATGCCCGAGGCCATGCTGCCTGCCTGCTTCCTCAGCCTGCTGGCCTTCACCTCTGCCTGCTAATTCCAGAACTGCCCGAGGGGCGGAAAGAGAGACCTGTTCGACCTGGAGCTGAGACAGGTAAGACCATTGCCCATCTCAGGGCTGCTGGGAAGGGCGGAGCCCCAGGGCTGGCACCACATGCAGAGGCTGGGAAACAGGGGTGCCCTGGGACAGGCGGGCTTCAGGGCAGTGCCCTGCAGAGGGAGCCAGGCTTGGGGTGCATGGGCAGAGGGGCCTGGGCTCCCAGGCAGGAGAGGACAGGCTGTGCATCCACACAGGGATGCAGTGAGAAGGGTATCCCCAGGAACTGGGCTTGGGGTTGGGTCAGGGAGAGCTGGGCAGTCAGGCCTCCTGTGTGCCCGTGGGGGCCTCTCAGCCAGCAGTGGCTGGAGCAGCAGAGGCTCTGTCCTTCCCAGCACCTGAGGCCTTCCCCGCCCTGCTCCCAGCCTCTCCTAGACAGAGGCCTCACCCTCCACACAGACACTGGCCATTGCCTGAGCTCACCTGGGGGGGGAGATGCTACCCGAGCATCCCCTAAGGAAGTTCAGCTAAGCATCTAGCCCATTTCAGTCCTGCTGCATGTTCTGTTGTTTTCCCACTCTTCCGTTTTCATTAGAGCTGAAGGAAATCTAGCCACCATGCTCAATGCCAATTCTGCTCAGGTACAGGAGCTCAGTTCTCAGCTGTTGCATAAACTACAGTGGGTAGGCCAGCAGACTACAGGTGGCCCTTGGCGCTGTTTGGTGCCTTTGGAGCCTGGGTCACCCAGGAGCCTCCTGTTCTAGGGCTCAGGCCCCAGCCACCTACCTGGTGAGTGCATAAGCAGGTGGGCAGAGGCCCAGGTAGGGTGGCAGGTGAAGGCCAGAGAGGGGACAGGAAATGGGAGGAAGGGGCTGGAGGTGTGGGGAGGGGGCAGGGGACTGTCTGCATGGGGGTAACCTAGAGACCAAGCTTGAGTAATGGGGGCAGGAGAGATGGGTCTGCATTTCAGAGACAGTGCTGGGCAGCTGAGAGAGGGGGTGCACACCACGGAGGCCCACAGTTGAGGAGGAAGGTCCTCCATGCTGCAGCCCCCAGGGGAGACCCTCACCTCTGTGAGGGTGGGGTGGGTGTGTGGGGGAGGACGCTCAGTAGGACACCGAGAGTCAGTCTGAGTCTCCTGTCAATCAAGGGAGACTAGTAGATGTGGGCTCTGCTCCTTGGACCCCATTTGGGGCCAAGGTAGCTCCAGGGCCACCCGGAAACTCGGGTCCATGCCGGGCCTCCCCACACACTGGGGCTCTGACCGCCAGCCCCAGCTCAGGCCTGGACCGGCTCACCCCTTTTTTCCCCAGTGTCTCCCCTGCAGCCCCGGGGGCAAGGGGCACTGCTTCGGGCCCAGCATCTGCTGCGGGGACTAGCGGGGCTGCTCCCTGGGCATGGCCGAGGTGCTGCGCTGCCAGGAGGAGACCTACCTGCCATCGCCCTGCCAGTTGGGCCAGAAGCCGTGCGGAAACGGTGGGCCCCTGCGCTGCCAACATAATCTGCTGCGATGCAGGTGGGCGGGCCGACGTGGTGGGGGGGGAGTTGGCGGGGTGGTCCCCGGACACCCCAGGGTTCCGGAGGCTCTGTGGATAGGGAGGGGAGAGGTCGGGGAGCGGGAGAAAAACTGCCTGCAACACACACACCTGCCCCACCTGTTCCTGGATCCCAAATTGTAGACAGAAACACGCAAGAGAAGGCACAGACCCCCTAAGAAAAGCGATCCTGGGTCAGCAGAGTTGCTGGAACTGGGACAGGCCACCCAGGGGTGAGCTGGAGGGGCCAAGGCCCAGAGTCAGCCTGCACAGTGGGGTGGGGTCCTCAGGCAGAGGGACAGGAGTGAAGGGGGCAGGTGGGTGGAAGACATCCGTGGACAAGGCAGGGAGAGATGTAGAGACAGAGACAGAGAGAGACAGAGGGAGAGACAGAGAGAGAGCAGGCAGACACCAAGAGTGACAGAGAGAGGGGGCAGAAGGGACAAACCACAAAGGGACCAGGAGTTCCGGTTCCCATTTACATCCCAGGAGACTGAGGCACAAGTGGCTTTGGGGACCCTTCCAGGGCCGAGATTTGAGATGCAATGCCCATTTCATCCACGGTTGTGCCATGTTTGTGTGTGGCTGTGGGCATGCAGGTGTGCAGGGGTGGGGAGTGGGACCAGCACCCCCAAACCCAGCTCAGGGCCCAGGTGCTGTCTGTCCCGGAGGAAACCAGGCGCCCCCAGCTGGCGTCGCAGCCACCCTGACAGACAGACCTCGGTGAGACCCTGGCCACCTGTCTCCACCACCCACAGCTGTGGGAACCACACACACACACACACACACACACAGACAAGAAAATAATTGTTAGTGATGTGCCCCGTGAGTGGTGACCACAGTCACAGACAAACAGTAGGCCCTGACATACACGTTCACAACCACAGGCACACTCACAGGAGCAGACACAACAGACTCCAGGACAGACAGGCCCACGTACATTCACACACACACTCACTTTCACTCCCAGACACAAGCACCTTCCACCCTTTGACACTTGTGTTGGGGGTCATTTCTGTGTCCCTGGGTGCTCAGCAGCCCCTGGTTCACGGGGCCCCAGCTCGGCCACATCTTCTGAGCAGCAGGGCCTCCTGCGGCCTGAGCCCCCAGCTCCTGGGCACCATGAAGGCCCTTCAGCTGGGGGGGGGGAGTCCTGGCCCCAGCCCTCAGGTGTGACTCCAGCGTCCCTCCACAAGTCAGGACGTTCTTCCCTGTCCACTGCTGGCCTGGGAAGCCCTCTTTGTAGCCCGAAGGACGCTGTCTCAGGACCTCGGATGGTTCCTCTGGTGTCCTGCCTGCTGTAGGTCCCTGCTCTGTTTGGAGGGGAGAGCTGCAAGCTGCTTCCATCTCTCTCACGTGCCCGGACTTTCTCCACCCCCACACCGCCTCTGCCCCACCCTGGCTCCACCCCTGCCCGCTGCGATCTAGCCAAATGGCGCCCCCTCCCCTCCCTGGGGCGGCAGGCCAGACTGCTCCCCTGCAGCGGGACCCCCGTTCCCCTCTGAGTTGCTCAGAGCTGCAGACACAGGCCCAGCCGCGCCTTTCACCGCCCCACCCCGCCCCGTGTATCCCTCCCAGAGCTGACACTGAGACGCAGGTCCAGTTGGAAGGGGGCAAGTGCTTTATTTGACTTTCATTTTCTGGGGTGGTTGTGGAGGGAGCAGGGTGCGGCCCGACTGTGTCCAGGGTCCGGGCGCTCAGCGCTGGGGGAAGGCGGCCTGGGGGGTCGCAGGCGGGGTCGCTGTGGCAGCGGTCTGTGAGGAGAGACGGGGGTCAGGCTGTTGCGGGTGCGGGTCTGGTCCCTGGGTCCTCAGTGCGGTCCCCTGCCCCTGCCCCCCACCCGGGTCCGGGAGTCCGCCCGGGGCCGGGGCCGGGGCCGCTCACCGGGGCTGCAGCAGATGCCGTTGGCGGCGCAGCGGCCCTCGTCCCCGCACGGCTTCTGGCCCGACTGGCAGGGCGACGGCAGGTAGGTCTCCTCCTGGCAGCGCAGCGCCTCGGCCGTGCCCAGGAAGCAGCCCAGCTCGTCCCCGCAGCAGATGCTGGGCCCGAAGCAGCGCCCCTTGCCCCCGGGGCCGCAGGGGAGACACTGGCGGGACAGCAGCGGGTGAGCAGCCCGGGGCTGAGCCGGGGGCGCGGGGTCTGGGTCTGGTGGGTGGGGGGCGCGGTCCGGGGACCGCAGGAGGCTCGGCTCCTCCTGGCTCAGCTGCGGCCCCAAAGGCGGACCCGGGAGGTGAACCCACACCGAGGACCTGCCTTGGGTCCCGGGCCTGGCGGCTGCGGAGCTCAAGGCAAGTCGGCGAGGCCAAGGAAACAGCGGGGAGACCCTGTGCCTCGGGTCCCCGCCCCCCGCCCCGCGCCGAGGATGGAGGGTGTGGGAGCTCACCTTGCGGACGTCGAAGTCCATGGTCGCCCTCTTGCCGCCCACGGGGCAGTTGGTGATGTAGCAGGCGGAGGTGAGCGCCAGCAGGCCGAGCAGGCAGCAGGCGAGGCTGGGGAGCGCCATGGCGCGGGCTCGGGGTCCGAGTTGGGCGTCCGTGGCTGGGTCTGGGATCCGGTGCTTTTAAGCCCGGGGCGGCGGGGCCGAGCGCTGCCTAAGAGGGCGGGCGAGTGTCTGGTCACGGCCGGGCGCTGCGGGTCAGGCCCTGTGCCCCCGCGCGGCCTGTCATTTGCAGGGGCCGGTTGGGTGGAGGTCACGGGGTTGGCTGATTCTGGCGTAGGGGGGAAAGGGAGGCCGTGCGGTGGGCTGGATCTGTGGGAGTGAGAGACAGAGAGACAGACGCACAGACTCCCTGTCTAGAACGGGTTGTGGGGAGGGGAAAGAGAGTATGGAGCGGCCCAACCGAAGACGCTGCAGCTCCACTCCCAGGGCCCCGGGGGGAGCAGGAAGGCCCTGGGAGCCTGCAGGCCTGAAGAGGCTGTGGCAGGACTGGGCAGGACTCCCCCACCGTCCTCTGCTCCCCTCTCATGCTGCCTTGTCCACTATCTTAGGAAGCTGTCTTCCTGAACCCCAACTTCCTGGTGTGTCCCCCCTCACCAGTCTTTACTTTCTGGGCACCTGGAACGTGCATAGGAAGAGACCTTTATTTTTTCTCTAACTTCCCACCGCAATTCAGCCTTTGCTTCAACTAGGAGGGAGGAACAGACCCCAGGGGAGTCTGCAGTACCTGGGGCTTTGTCACACCTGCAAATGCCAGGTGCCCTCCAGTCCCACTGAGGCTGCAGCAAAGGTCTCTACCTGCACTCTGGGCCCAGGGCGCTCCCTGCACCTGCCACTAGATCCTGTCATCTCGTGCTTTCAAATAACACGTTGGTGAGGGTCACAGATTTGCTTTAATTTTTTGAACCTGAATATAAACAAGCTCTGTTTCCTTTGTAATCTCACGTCTCCGTGGCACGAAGTTAAGAACGGGGCTGTCGTTGTGCATTTTTACCTCATCTGAAACTGACACGGATGGAACCAAAGAGGAAGACGGATGCCTCAGTGGAAGGGGCGGGGGCCGAGTCCTGGACAGGGTGATGCGCAGGCTGGATGCCACTGAAGAAGGGACTTGTCACCCACGATGGCAGTGTGGTCAGCAGAATGGTCTTTGGTCCAGGGTCCACCTCGGCTCCAGAAAATCACCTGGGCCATGGCCTCCCCTTCCCGGGTGGCCCAAAACCCATGATGGGCCATTTCCACACAGTGCTGGGCAACTCTGGGGCCAGCATGTGGGTTCTCCCTCTGCCCAATCCTGTGTCCACCCCCTCCTTTCTGCCAGTGAGGGTCCTCAGAGCCCTCTGGGATAACCATCCTGTTTCTTCAACTCCATCTCAGTCTGGTTCCTGGGGAACCCGATTGCAAAGGAATGGATGAGACGAGGCCAATGACGGAACAAACACACCCAACCAGCACTGTCCCTGATGTGAACCCAGGGAGAGGAGCCTGGGACACAGCCCCAGCCAGTCAGGCACTCTTGTTGACTCTCCCAGAGGAGGGTGCTGAGGCCATCAGGTCACAGGCCTGTTTGCCCCCCAGCCGCTGGTGTGAGCTCTCCCGCACCGAGGAGCTGGCCGGGCCACCCTGGAGCACCAGTCAGCAGCTGGTCTTGTTTTTCAGCCAGATCAGCTCGCTGGTGTGCTGGGCTGGAAGGCCCACAGTCTGACCCTAGACATGGCCCCAGACAGGCCTCCCACCGCCCTGTGTTCACACCGACCTCACCGAGCTAACACGTGCACATAGATGACTGTGGCATGACGACCCCCACAGGGCCACCCTACCCTCCCCTGCTCCACACTGCCCGTCTGAAGATGCACTGAGGGCCCAGCACAGAGGCTTGGAAATGCCAGAGAACCAGGGGCTGAGATACTGGGGGCTAAAAGGGGCAGCATTAAATAGAAAGCTATTTCACCAGGTCAGGAGGCACTGAGTGCTATGGAGAGAAGGGTGGGGCACGTCACAATCTCCCCAGGGTGCTCAGTGTTGGCCTCTAGTCCAGATGACTCCTGACCCTTGAAGGAAGTGAGGGAAGAAGCCATGTGGATATCTGAGAGCAGACATATTTTCTCTTGGTGTGTGACTGATTACCACAAATTAGTCAATTTAATAAACACCCACTCACCCTCCAGCACTGTCTGTGGGTCTGGGCAAGGCTAGCTGGGCCCCCTGCTCTGGGTCTCCCAGAGCTGCAGTCCAGAGGCAACTAGGCTGATTCCTTCCCTGAGCCCAGGAGACTGGCGGCTGCACCAAGGTGGGGGTGGGGGGGGGGCCTGTGGGGACAAGTGATCCCAAATTTTGCAAGGACTGTTGGGGTTGCTGATAGGCTGGATATGGGTAGGAGAGAAAAAGAGGAGGGAGAGACGAGTCCTGGGCTTTTGGCCTGAGCAGTGGGAAGGATGGAGCCACCACCTGCTGGGATGAGGACTCTGAGGGTGGCACAGACGGATTTGGGCCGGGAAGGGCAAGAGCTCAGGGAGGACATCAGACACTTGAGATGCCCGGAACATACCTGAAGGTGACTTTGCCCAAGCATTTGGGTAGGAGCCCGAAATGCAGGTGAGAGGGCCAGGATGGGGATACATGAGTTTGGGAACCATCAGTACCAATATGTGAAGGCACAGGCCGGGGTGAGATGACTGGGGGGCAGAGATGGGGAGAGGGCCAGGGCTTGGCCTGTAAGGTCGGAGAAAAGAAGAGCAGGGAGTGAGGGCAGGACGGGCAAGTGGTCAGCTGTGCCACACGCAGCTGACATGAATGTTGAACTTTTTCATTTAAACAATTTTGATAAGGTATAACATACCCACCATAAAATTCACCATCTGAAAGCGCACACTTTCAGGCTTTTAGTAAACAGTTGTGCGACCACCCGCAATCCAGGTTTAGAACACTGTTATCTGGGGAAACACGCCCCTCACACCCCTGGGCCATTGCTACCTGCTCCCACCCGCTGCCCCAGGGAACCGCTGCTCTGGATCCACCATCTCTGGAAACGCCCCGCAAATGCCCCCGTGCAGCACGTGGTGTCCCGAGTCTGGCCTCTCTCACTTCCCGGGGTGTTTGCAGGTGGCCCCCAGTGACTGCGGGTGTCAGCAGGTCATGTGTCTGTATTGCTGAGATGTAGTCAAGGCAGGGAACACATTCTGTCATCCGTCCAGCGGCTGATGAACATTTAATTGCTTCCAATTTGGCTGTGATCGGAACCTTGCCATGAATACTTATGTACAAGTCTGTGCACGGCCATATGTTTTCATTTCTCTTGGGTGGTGACCTAGGAGGACAGCTGAGTCATATAATGAGTGTCTGATCAACCTTTTAAGAGGGGAGCCACACCACCTGCACTCCAGGGGAAGCGCTCCCTATGGTCCTGGTGCGGAGCCAGCTGAAACCCTGTGGACGGGTGCCCCAGCGGTGGCTGCAGGGACAGTGGGGCTGAGAGGACTTGGAGATGCTGCAAGAAGCTGTCCCACACATCCTCTGATTCCCATGCTGCAGCTGCCTTCTCTGTCCTTGTGCCAGAGAGGCTGGGCAGTGCCCGTGGAAACCTCACAGCTACGAAGAGCGTCACTGGTCCCAGCCAGCAGTATCTCACTTCAACTAGGCTTTCGGGACTCTTGAAGAATTATTTTTCTTCACTGAGGCCAACTGCTCTCTCCCACCCGACCAGCCTGGAGAGTTACCCCAGCACCAGGTGCAGATTTATGATGTAATGCACCCATGAGACCTGTGAGCTGGCCCCACACTCAGCCTTCCACAGGCTGCCTGGGTGGTCCTGAGGCCACTGCTCCTGATGGGTGCTGCCCAGTAAGACCAGAGAACCCACTGCCCTCCTTCTTGCCCCTGAGAGGGAGCGCCTCCATCCTGGCAGTTTGGTTGGATGGCCTTCGTTCTGTGTGAGGCATTCAGTGTGTCTGTGACCGTGGGCAGTGGCTGGCTGGGCCCCAGACAATGGTGTCCACCTTTGGTCTCTGCTATTGGAGGGTTGGGCTCTCAGCAGTGGCGGTAGCCAGGTCAGCCTGGGTGAGGTAAAGTCCCTGCTGTCGAGCCCATGCACAACCTCCATCTCTGCACTTTGTTCAACAGTCCAAAGGGCAGGGATTGGAGTGGAGGGGATAGAGGATGTCTGGTGACCCATCTGGTGCAGCGGGTCTTTTGGGTGAGCTTCCAAAGGGACACAAATAATCTCTGACTGCAGGTCCGCCCTCCTACTCTTCCACATGCCCTGGAGTCAGCATCCCCCAAACATGTTCCTGCCAAGTCCCCGGTCCTTTATTCCCCACCAAATCATTAGCCACTTGTCCATCTCTAAGGCTCTCTCTCACTCCAGGGGAAGTGGCTGTGATGTAGTGTCTCAGGCACGGCCAGTTGGAGAACTCGTCTCCTCACTGTCCTTTAGGGCTGAACACACACAGGACGGGAACACCACAGCCATCTGTTCTCGGGATAGGAGTCATCTAAAAACTGGACTCCATGTTTTGCCTCTTTGGTCAACTGGATACTTAAGACAGGCTATTTCTATCACAGTTATGAGTTAAGGAAGGAGCATGAGCTCAGGAAGAGTCCATCTGCCTGAACAGCTTATCTGCCCCACAGCTGACCACACATGCATGAATGAGCCCAACCAAGAGCAGAAACGGTCCTTCCTAGTCTCATGAGCAGTAGTAAGAATGAATTGTCTCAGAGCAGTAAGGTTGGGGGCGGTTTATTCTACAGAATAAGCTAACTGGTGCACAGTCTCTGACTGGGCTGGGGGATAGGGAAAGAGGTATTTTCAAAAGGCACTAATGATATGTCAAAGAGGGTTCTGGAAACCCTCGGGACTTGTGATGAGGGATCCCACTGGCTCCTCCCAGCATCCTGATCCCCTCTGGACATCGTGAGCAGGAGAGGACCCCTGGGTCATAAGGCCTGAAGGGCAGAGCTGCCTGTCCTCCAGCGGGATCTCCTTTTTGTTCTCTTGCCCTGGTTCACCCTCAAAGCCCCTGCCCTTTTGGTCCTGGTAAATGATCAGAGCAGCACCTTCAAATGTGGCCAGTGGGCTCCCAATGCAGAGACACCCA